GAAACGATAGCCTGATAGATCAAAGGATGGCTGCAGGTAATTGGGCTTCTTTTCGGATTCAAAAGCAATGAATCAGGTCCCATATTTAAGGCTTGTAGGGAAATGGCTATAAAATGTGTACTAAAAGGAAGGATAAATAATATTCCTAAAATTTAATTAATTTCTCTCTTTCATTTAGCCTGGCTTAATCCTATGCTATATTCCTGATGTGAACAATCTATATATTGTTCCATTAGTATATTTCAATTTTATATTAAGCCTCACAATTTACTGGTTTTATTTAGGATAATGCACTCATATTTGACATATTTACATCATTCCCATTTATTATTAAAAGCAATGTTATATTTAGGTATTGAGGATTAATAAGCCCTCCATAATGTTTGTACTATCATATCTTTTATGGCAAGTGCAGAGTGTTTCAGGTTCATTTTTTTTTTTTCTTGGTACCAGGGATTGCACTCTGGTCCTTGTGCTATAGGTTCATTTTTACAGGTGATTTCTTTTCTTTTCTTCTTTTTTTCTTTTCTTTTTTTTTTTTTTTTTGGTACCAGGGATCGAACTCAGGACCTTGTGCTTGCAAGGCAGGCATCGCCACCACTGAGCTAAATCCCTGGCCCCCACAGGTGATTTCTTAAAGGTAATTTTATAGCTTTTACTGTTCTTGGGTAAAAGATTGGTTAGCAAAAATTCTTTGACCTTGTTTGCAAAAGCCTTAATGGGGCTACGCAGCACATGGAAGAAATTTCGAGTAGCTAGAGTGGATGTTCTCCTCATTTTTGTTGCATTGCTCTAATGTGCAGTAATTGTCATACACAAATATTTATGAAAGCTTCCTCCTCCCTCCCTCCTTCCCCTTCCTTCCTTCCTTCCTTCCTTCCTTCCTTCCTTCCTTCCTTCCTTCTTTCCTTTCTCTTTTTGGCAGTAACAATTACTTTGAGGAAAGTTTTGTATTTTTGAGACAGCCTTTCTTTGCTTATAATTATTAAATGATAAATTTATGACTGCAGAGAATATGTACAATTAATCTTTATCTATTGTATCAAGTGTACAGTTGTAATCATTATAGAAAACAAAACCTCAGGAGATAATAATCAGTGTAGAACTTTTTTCTTTGACTCACTATTCCTTTAAAACTTACTGAGAATGAAGTTCTGTTATCACTGGTTTGGAAGATAAATATGTTATGATTTTTCTGATTCTCAGCTTTAAATATCTGTTTTAAAAGGTACCATAGCTCCATGGTAGAACACTTGGATAGCATGTCTGAGACCCTGGGTTTAATTCCCAAAATCACAAAATAAAAAAATAAAAAAATAAAAATAAAAAATAAAAATAAGTAAATAGGTATGGCATTTTAATCTAATTGCTTCACATGAAATTTCTGTATTTGCATGTTAAGAAACAATAAAAGATGAAATAGTAACTATTCCATACAATTCCATCTAAATTAAAATAAAATTAACAAAACATCAGTTAATTTATAGTCAAGACTTCTCTCTTGCTACTACTAAGGTGTTCAGGAGGTAAGAAGCTGTAGTTGAGAAAGGGGATAATAGGCTTTTTCTTTACTTGATTTCCTCCTCCCTCTCCTCTGTTAGCCCTTCCCCTCCTCCTCCTCCTCCTCCTCCTCCTCCTCCTCCTCTTCTTTCTTCTTCTCCTTCTTCTCCCTCATCTTCATCTTTATCTTCTCCCTCCCTTCTCCTCCTCCTTCTCCTTCTTCTGACTATAGATTGCTAACTATAATTTCTGACCTCTCCAGGGGCAGGGGTAGGGACTATGAATAAGGGTATAGAAACTCTTGCTGCACTGGTACTATCTTAAGATATCCGGATACACGTTACCACTTTTTTCCAGAGAACAGGAGAACCTCCTTCACTGGGATATCTTGGCTACATCCTCGCCCTGAGTGAGCATATTTCACCACCATCCTTAGGATTTACATATGTCTTCTGCTTTTCTCTCCACATGCATCCCTTCACTTCCAGTAGAGTCTCTGGACAGGACCTAACATGACCACATGCTGGCTCTTGGTCTCAGGGGCTCATGCTGATCCATGGGAAGCATTCACATTCTGACAGTATAGGCAGATTGAGCACAGCAACCTCAGCTTTGACTTATCTGTCAGCAGCAGATAAGCTAGATGCTACTATTATGCTCTATATATTTCAGGCTGGAGTCAGGCACCAGTCTACTATGGGTCCCAACTCCATAGATAAAAACCTCTGTATGATAGCATGGGAGCCATACTCAGTAGAATTTTTCTACATAGAAACACTCATAACAGAAGCTATCAATTCCATTCTTAGTATTATAAGGCAGCTAAGTCAAATGGAAATTAATATACAGTCAGAGAGGGAGTGGGCTCTCGAGGAAGTCAGTTAAGGGTGGAGACAACAGAATTATGGCTGGAGGGGCATCTGAAGAGGACCAGGTCTCAAGACACAGATGCAGTGGCCTGATCTACATGTGTAAGCAGTAACTTTGAATTATACTGTAATTAGCACCACTTGGTCCTTGAAGAAGGAGCAAGTCCTTTTTGATGAAGTTTGAAGATACTACCAATCATGGCATATACAGTATTTCATTAAGAATTGTTCCCTCTGGACTGAGTTCTAAAACTGAGTAATTGTGACTTCACTTTTCTGCTTCAGGGTAAATTCATCTCCTTCCATGCACTGCTAGCATCTGGCCTTCAAGGTCTGGCTCCCATTTCTCTGAAGAGGGCCATTGTTCCTTCCAGGAAAGGGGTACAAATCCATAAAACCTGTCCAAGCAGTCTAGAGTTCCTCTAGTGAACAAGCAGAATAGTTCTTATAACTCTTAGCATGGTGAAGTAATTATAGTTCTAACAGTAAAAAACATGGAAATTGCAGCAGAGTGCTTTGAGCACATAAGCAATAGATTGCTATTTATTTATTTCCCAAATTGGGAAGATCTGACACAGATCTTCACTGAGGCAATGATTATTATTCAAAATCAGCATTGTAGATGTTCTTTTTGAAGTTGTGGAGCAACTTTAAACATGCCACAGCTGCCTTGATTTTTCAAATAGCCACAAATAATTTTTAGAGTAAAATAGGTAAGTGAACTTAAAGAAAAAAATCAAGTATTCAAACAACTATATAATAGTAGAAAATTCAAAAATATATCAAGAATAGTATTAGCATTGGGAGAGAAGAATTGGATAAGAAAGTAAAATGGAATGAACAGAACAGGTAGAAAGAAAAAAAAATCATAGATAAAAGTGGCAAAAGAGGGAAAGAACTGGAAGAGAGCAATTTCATTTTGGGTGCATCAGCTCAGGAAACAGAGCACCCAAAGCCTGGCAGAGGTCTTGCTAAGGGAAGGAGTAGGGCAATCATGATGAGATGCAAAGAAGTAGAGACCTTCTTCTTGGAAGTTAGATGGGATTAGCTCAAACTTCTCTAGAAGTAGGGCTCTTAGCAAGCAACAACCTGGGACTGCAGTTCCAGAGCTGTGGCTTCTAATGTGACTTTCAATGAATCACTTAGTGTCATGTGAACATTTGCACAGGTTGACTTTGAAGCTCAATGACCTGTAAGATTCCTCCCAGTTTTCCTTTTGCAGCTTAATGAAATCTTATTGGCAAAAGTGAGAAAGGGTAGGGGAACAGGGGAGAGGAAAAAGGGAAAAGTTCTTCAAAAGAGGAAAAAGGGGGTCCAGGTGGAACATATGCCAGAAGGAAGAGCAAGTCAAAATTCTACAGTGGTCTTTTAGGATGCAGGGTGGGTGCCTTACTCCCCGTGGCAAAAAGAGGTAATATCCTCTCCAAACTTCCAGTGATTTATCTGAGAAGGTCAATTGCAGTTGACAAGTTGCATCTAGGAAAATTTGCATTTTGTGATATGTAAAAAATCAATGTTCTTTTAATGATTTTACACTGATTTCAAGGAGTTCTCTATTGTTCACTGGGCTATCCATAACCATTCCCCTGAACTAGCTCCCCACTGAGAACTATTCAGCCTTGGAACAGAGCAAATGATATTCTACTCTGAGGTAAGTTGAAATCTTCAACTATCATCCTTTTGAGAAATATTATCATTCATATATATATTGTCTTTATACAGATGGTAAGAGAGGGAGAGTCCCTGCACAGATGCACACAGACACATATATGTGTATGTGTATGTATTATGTCCCAATTTTAATGTGGATGGGGCAAATATTGATAGATTTTTTTGGTGCCTCAGAATTTCTTCCAGGATAGTCTTAGACAGGAAAGGTTTACCCACAAACCACAAAACAAACTTTTAGACTCCGATTTCAGTGCTAATTTCCTGCCCTCCAGGCACTAAGCTCAATGACATTTTATCTGCCTGCTATAGAGCATGTCTTTTCTATATTTTAAAATATATATGAACAGATAAGTTTCACAAACCTGAAATTAATTAAACACAAAATCAGTGTCTAAAGTGAAAGAGTTGTAGGAAATGCAAAATAATTATAAACAGATACTCAGGGAAAAAGCAACAGCAAAAGCTATTTGACTTCCTCCAGGTAGAGTCTAGAGCATTATTTTTTATTTAAGGAAAGAATGCTAATATAAGGCAAAATAGATTTTAAGTATATGCAGTGGTGAATTAATAATTTGTTTATATAGTAAGAGAAAGGAGATTATGAGGTGATGAGATTCATTTCTTCAGAATTTATTTCTACAAACCCTGAAATACTCATTTGATATTACCAAAGGTAGCTACACTTATTTCATAAGTAAGAATTAAATTACAAGTTATGTAAATTACAAGTTATATATATAAGGGGATATTTTCTAAGAAGATTGAAAATAGCAGGCATCTTATTTTCTGTTTGGAAAATAATGTGGTTTGAAGTAATATCCCTTTTAGTAAAAATAAAAATACAGATAAAGAACATCCTTAATTTTAGCTTTGTTGTCATTTTTATAATATTTTGATTTATTAGAATTCTGTGCATATTTATATTTATAACATCAGAAATGAAAACACAGAGTCACGTACCTGTGTCTGTTTAGGACCAATATCCATTTTTCTCAGAAGATCATTTAAAAAAGCTGTAACACTTTCCCAGGGATAAATACTGTTAGAACCATCCAGCACTATGACTATGTCCAGCTGAGAGCTGCATTCTGGAATAAAAGTAAGCAATTGTGAAAATTTGGAATCTATCTTTTTAGAGGTATATGAAGTGTTTTCATAGCTGAAAGAAGCTCATTTTAAATGTTGAATTGGTGTCTACAAAATGGATGTTTTGCATTTAATTGTTTCAGAAAAAGCAAAGGACGAAAGAATAGAATACATATTGTATTCAATTAGAATTGGTTTAAAGTTTGAACCAAGTAAAACCCATGTCTAATTAATTTTAATTAATATATTATAACAATTATATCTAGAAATTTTCTCAGTATGAATTTGATATTACCTTCTCATTCTGGGGTTATTTATAATGAAGTTAACTTCCTCAAAGAGACCCTTTAAATACAAGCAATGTGACAGCTGTAGATAGAAAGTTTAAACATGATGTTATAAAAGTTATTTATGCTAGTATTACTTCCAAAAATACCAGTGAAGTTTGGTTACATACTGACAAAGCAAACATTTACCTACATTGGTAACACTGGTAGCTGACAAAATACTTGAACTTTTTTGGCATGCTTTTATGTATACATACGTCTCATTCACTGCTTATGCTTTTCTAATATGCAAAAACACTGCATAAAATCTGTACCTTGTACAGGGGCAAAGGAGTTCACGACTTGAAATGTGGGGCTGACATCAGAACAGATTCCAGTTGTGTAATGCAGGTGTCCACATCTATAGGCATATAAGGGCCCACATGCCTTTTAAAGAATTTAAAAAAATTAAAAACTATAAGACTTAAAATGACATACAAGTTTTTAATAGTTTGTAATGATAGTGTATTCCTGTTATGAAATATTATTACTCTTTTTTTTTTTTTTTGGTACCAGGGATCGAACTCGGGTCCTTGCACTTGCAAGGCAGGCAACGGAACCACTGAGCTAAATCCCTGGCCCCAAATATTATTACTCTTTCCTTTCTTACCAGAAATCCTCCTTTTGGGTTGGTGACTAAAGTTGATCCAAATGTCATGTTCTCTTTTACCTCTGTGACATTGGGAATTGATGTATTAACTATAAGAGAGGACAAAATTTTATGAGGATGAACATAAGTTTCACAAAGTGAAATTAAGAATCTACTCATTAAGACATTTTATTTGCTTTGTTTGTAACACATGAACAATGTGATATATTCTTCATATCTATGAAGAATTTTCATAGCACATTCTTCTTTTGGTTCATCTGAATAGACTTCTGAATATTACTAAGAAATATACTGAACTAGCCAAGGCTGAAGGGCTGGCTTTTGTTCCAGAAACAGTTAGTATCACTGTTTCAAATAGTTTTGTTGAACTGTGAAAGAAGGTAGAGCCAGCAGGGCAATATGAATATGGGATTGCCTTTCACATGTTTTTGGTAATTAGAACAAGTAAAATATTTAGCTTCATAATATTGTAAACATAATGTTATCTTATATTATTTGTTAGAAACAACCAACGATGAAAGGTGATTTCTGGCAAGAAAAAGGCAAATGAATAGAAGACCAGAGAAAACATTTGAACAGTTTTTGACCATGATTTCCACAATCATGGGAATATCATGAAGGTTACAAAGAAAACTGGGGTAAGTTAGAGAAGTGGCCAGGAAGTTTGGATAAATGGTATGTAATGAAGAGACTACATTTGACATTCCAAATAGAAATGTTGAGCCCTACAGCAGGCCAGTCTGACAAAACTGGCAAGAAATTCCACTTACTCACATGAAAGCAAAAAGCTAAAAATCAAGGAAGGAAGGAAGGAAGGAAGGAAAGGAGGGAGGGAGGGAGGAAGGGACAGGAAAAGCAAAAGCTTCTATACCTTCCTTAATAGAGTGCATAAATATTTGAAAGTAGCAAAATTCAAGTTCAAGTAAGATTTGTCGCATTATTTGTGCTTAGAAGTTGTTCTTACCTTAAAATTGTCTATAGGTTTAAAGTGGACAATGGAAGAAGAGCTTCCTGAATGATCAGTTTTACCTCATAATCTGAACGTTGATCTTTGCCCAAGACCTTAATCTGATTTTTTTTCAAAGCAGCTGGGCTTGAATTATTATATAGATTGTTTTTTTTAAAACATGGATTAGAATTGTTTTATACAAGGTTGACTCAAGATCAACACTGCAGGGATAAATAGGGGTTATAGCAGACAGTTTCTTACTATTCTTTTTGTTATTGTTGTTAAATTCTTTTATTGGTACATTTTAGGTATACAACACAATTACATTTCTCATTGGGAATTGTACCTTTACATAATGCATCTTGGTTCTTATTTTTTCCCCATTCCTAGCCCTCCCTTCACGCCCTCCACCCTTCCCTATTTACAAAGACTTTATTGCCATTTTGTCCATTTCTCATCATTTTTACTTTCCCTTCTTTCCTTTCCCCTGCCCCTCCCACTACCCCTACCCCTTTGGACCTTTTCTTCCTATTTTGCATTATCAATTATTCATTCTAATCATTGGTACATTTTAGGTATACAATATAATGACATTCATCTTTGGAAATTTGCACCTTTACATAATCTCTCTTGGTTCTTATTTTTCACCCTAGCCCAGCCCTTCCTTCTACCCCTCCATTCCTCCCTATTTACAAAGATTTTGTTCCTATTTTTCCATTTTCTCATATTAATCCCATTCCTTCTATCCTTTCCCCTAGCCCTCCCACTTCCTTCCCCTTTGCCCCTTTTCTTCCTATTTCACATTACCTATTATACATTTTAGTCCTTATTTACACTTTCAGTTTCTCACACCAGAGAAACTATTTGGTATTTATACATGTGTGTCCTATTTATTTCACTTAAGAGTATGGCCTCAATGTGCATCCACTTAGCTATAAATGTCTCTAATTTCTCATTTTTTATGGCTGAGTAGTACTCCATTTTATTTTTAAAAACCCACATTTTCTTTATCCAGTCTCCAGTTGATGGGCATTTGGGCTGTTTCCAAGTTTTAGCTATCACAAACTGTGCTGCTATGAACATGGGCCCACCTATATCACTGTGGTATGATTCTTTTAATTCTTTGGGTAAGATCCCCAGCAGTGGAATAGCGGGGTCAAATGGGACTTCCAGTCCTAGTTCTTTGAAGTATCTCCATATTCTTAATGTAGTTGAAATCTCTAGGCTAATTTAAAAACTCTATTCCATTTTCCAATATTGGAGGTACTCCGAACAGAACAACTCTTTTTCAAGTAACCATAAATTCTAGGAAAAGGAAAGAAAATAAGTATGAAGCAACCATCTAAAGTCACTGGAAAGCAACCCAAAACAGACAAAAACTAGAGAGAAATCTATACTTGGAAAAAGAGATTTTCCACTGGGTAAGTTTCTTATTTTTGTTTCATTTTGCTTTGCTTTTTGTTTCTATTTTTTTCCCTACACAGTAGTAAAATGCAAACAGGATTCCCAGTCTTATTATCTTGTAGAAAAAGGGAGTAGAAATTAGAGAACAATGAGAATATCTCCAAAGTAAAGAGGGATATTTTAGGAAAAAGAGCCAGAAAAGGACAGTTCTATGCATCATTTTCTGTACAAATAGCTGGATGAGTCAATAGTCAATGTGCAAAGTAGCCTAAACAGTTCACTAGAAATAAGAACTGAATAGAGATTTTTAACTACTTCACACTGTAAGAAAGTCAGTAATTATAAATAAACAGCAGGGCAAGTAAACTGATTGTAAATACAGAAAGTTAAGTCTATTCAAAGGCATGCAACAAAATCTAGAATTTCCAGACTTGTAATTAAAAAAATATAATCCATGCAATGACCTAAAAATACTACATATAAAAAGAAACAAAAAAAAAAATGTGACACAACCTTAAGGAAAGATAATAAATAGAAAATGATGAGATATTTGAGATGTTGGAAATAAGTACTGTAACTATGCCCATGAATGTAAAGGAAAAATTTTCATAATGAATAAAGAAAATATTCATGGTTTCTCTAATATGAAAGACCCAAATATAAATAATTTAAAGAGCAAGATATAAGAGAGACAGTAGGAAATTGGGAGGTAGACTCTGTGGGGATAGGTAGGTGATCTAAAGAAGAAGGAAAGGGGGAACATGAGGGGGGAAAAATAATCAGGATGTGCCATGTATATGTAGCATTATTCCAAGATGAATGTAATTATTATGTATCCCAAACATATACTAATAAATAAGTAATTGAATAGGAGATTGAAATTGAAAAAAGAACCAAAAAATGTAGTATTTGCAATAAATTTATGGAACTATTTCCATGATACTTGGTAGTATATAGAAGACTGATAGAGATCTAATTCCTGGATAATTCTAGAAGAAATTTTCTATTCATGTTCCACTACAGTGATATTTCTGTCAAATATATCTACTTTAATATAAATGTATTTCATGTTACTTTTTTAAAAAATTTATGATTCCTCTTATTCTATTTTTCTTATAAGAATCAGGCACTAAAATTTTGTGCAAAGAATGTGATGGACAGGTTATTTGAAAAAGTTTTCTCAGGGCTGGGGATTTAGCTCAGTGCTTCCTCCGCCTGCCTCGAAAAAGTTTTCTCATGTTACACTAGTTTAGAAAGAAGCCTGAACAATGGGGGGAGGTAAAAGTTATAAAAGCAGGGCAGAGGGAATCAAATGTCTCTCTATATGAATTTAGATAATAACTAAAGAAAGTTTATAGATCACTTTTAATATTTTTGTGAGTCACTTGAAAGTGTTTTTAGTGAGAATAGTAGGCAAGATTTAAGGTGAGACTAACTCTTGGATTTTACATACCTGGTAGATCCAACTTTATGCACCTTTTATCACTTTTCCCAACTGGACACTTATAGACATCTCCAGTTCTGGTCTTGGGTTGACCAACTAAAGGAGAACCAATAAGCACCCTGAAATTTAAATGAGGCAATTAAAATGTCTGAACAATGAGAAACAGTTTATTTTAGTTATTTTAGAACTAATTCTATGAAAATAGACAGCAGTGACCATAGACAAAATTAATCATCTTGTTAGTAATTTAATGTTATTTAAAATAAGTACAGTGTCTTCTCAAAATTGCACATTGATTTTAATTGAAAAATTAGTATGAGAGAAGTTGCATGGATTTTGATTTATTATTATCTACTACCTTATCATATTTTTAATTTAGGTATGGAAATAATCAATAATTATTTGATAAGTCTGCCATCTGTTGTTTTAAAAATACATGTAAGGCTATATGACTTTTCCTCATGATAAATTCCCAACTTTTTTTCTAATTTTTATTTTTACCAGTACATTTGTAGTACACAATGAGTACGTTCATTGTGGGGAGTTGGTACATGACACATAACTCTTCTTTTCATCCCTCCATCTCTTGGCTCCTTTCCCTTTGTCCTTCTGTTTACTATTATCTATCTTTTCTTTCGCTGTTTGATTTATTCATATTTAAATCAGTATGGAGATTCCTCAAATAACTAAAACTAGAAATTCCATTCAACCTAGCTATTCTCCTTTTAGGTATCTTCCCAAAAGAGTTAAAGACATCATACTACAGTGATACATGCATACCCATGTTTATAGCAGCACAGTTCATTTTAGCTAAATCTTGGAAGGAACCTATGTGTCCATCAGCAGATGATGGATAAAGAAAATGTGATTTTATATATAATGGGGAGCTACTCTGCCATAAAGGAGGATAAACTTGAGTCATATATAGGAAAATGGATGTTCCTTGAGAACATAATGTTAAATGAAATAAATAAGACACACAAGCTTAAATATCTCGATTTCTTTTATATGAGAAGCCTCAAGAAAGAGAAATAGTTAATTTCATAGAGAAGTCAGAAAATAAACATAGAGTCATTATAAGATTTAATATTAGTTGTGGTATTTAATAAGCACTTTGAAAACACGGATAATTATGACATACAGATTAAAATTACTTATCTTTTTAGACATAGTTATATAATCACTCCAATAGCAATTAATGGAAAATTAATCATTATTCATTTTAGTGCCAGTAAGTCCTTTAACAGTCCTCGTGACATTCTCAGGAATAGAAAAGATGAATGTGGTTGAACATGAATGAAGTCCCTTGGTGGATCAACAGTTGTTGATTCATTGCTGGCTATTCATATCCAAAAACTCATTTCTTACAACCCAGTGACACTAATCACATACCATAAGGCTCTGTGTTTCTGATTGTCTTAGATGATATCTTTATCAAAACTTCAGTGAAGATATAAAACAATAAAAATATTTAACAAATACATATATACATATACTTGGGAATTCATCTCCACATTCTAAAATAAACATTAATAAACTAATGTTTAGAACATATATGTTACTTCACTTAACTGGTTACTATTGTCTACATAGGATGCTGGAAGCCTCATTTAATGGGAATCCATGTGAAAAAGTCATGGGAGATTTAGTTGACAGCACATAGACATGAGCCAACACTGTATTTTAGTGCCAAAAATGCTAATATGACCTTTGGGTGCATTGCTGGAAATAGATGCCCTGGTCAAGGAAAGTGATAGCCCCTCTGTGCTCTGAACTGGTCAGGCCATGTTTGGAATCTTCAAATTAAGAGGGACAGAGGCACAATGGAATGTATTTAGGGGACTGACTCAGATGATTAGGAGCTTCACAGTTTTGTCAAACAAGAGTTGCTGAAGGGAAAGTTGGAGATACTGAGCACACAGAAAGAATTTATGAAAAAGAATGAGAGGCACACAGGGTACATGAGGCATATGTTTTAAAAATTTAAATAATGGAAAGTCTGTCACATTGAAAAGCAATAGGATTCATTTTGTGTAGGTCCTTTGAGCATTCTAATATTAACAGAAATATATTATAACAACTGTAAACACTGAATTATTTAACATCCTCCCTAAAACCTTTGCAAAGCAATTTCTGATTTGTGTAAAGAACCATAAAAATGTTAAAAGTCTTTAAGGCTGTTTTTCTTTCTTTTTTTTTTAATCTAACATTTAAAAATAACCTAAAATAAGTGAGGAAAGCTTACTGCATAAAGATAACGCTAATCAAAAATTGAAGAAAATATGGTCAACAGCAAAAACTAATTATTTCAGGATAATTCTGTAAAAAATAGTAGCTAAAATTGCATGATAGGATGAAAAATTATGTGTGGCCTAATTTAAAATGAAAACCTACCTAATTTAGTGAAAAATCTGTGACTTTAAGTGAGACACAAATTATTGTATTCATTATAATAAGAATGATAATATCTAGTACTTATTGAATTTATATCCTATCTCAGACACTGTTCTGAGTACCTTCCATGTGCTCAGAAATTGAATCCTCACTATAAAAGGTAGCATGAACTTTGGTTCATGAGCTTAAATCATGGCTTTGCATTTTACTAGCTGTATGGTTTAGTAGAAGTCAATTACCCTGTTTGTGCCTTAATTTGTTCATCAATAAAATAGATATTGTGAGCACATATCTCACAGTACCATCATGAAAATTACAGATAATACAAGAAAAAACTTAGAATAGTACTTGATTCATATTATGTGCACTTAAATATTAGTTCTTTTTATTACTGCTATATTTTAATTTCAGGTTATTAAACAACTAACATCTGTGTAAAACAATAATTAGAAGAGAATGTATCAAAAATATAACAACTCATATTAAGGAGACTATAGTTAGGTTTTTTTCAGTATTTAAAAAAATTTATGGAATATGTTAGTTTTACAGTTGAAAACAGAAATGAGCCTTCTACTGTATCATTGAAAATATTTAACTTGGACCCGGGATTTAGCTCAGTGGTTTCGTCACCTGCTGCGCAAGCACAAGGACCCGAGTTCGATTCCCAGTACCAAAAAAAAAAAAAAAAAAGAAAAGAAAATATTTAACTTCAGACTAAATAAATTAATGTTCATTGAGAATATTCTACAAGTTGGACATTTATGCCAGATCACAGGGAAGGAAAATGGATAAATATATTCTTAGGAGGTTTAAAGGAGAAGCAAAATTACAACTGTGCATCACAACACTGAAAAGGTTGGAACCTGGTACAACTCCAACAGTCTTAGAAACAATGAAAAACATTGTTCCTTTGGTAAGTGCACAAAGCTCAGAATAGCTGTGATAGAAGTTCAGGCTGTAGAGTAAGTAATTCATGTTCTTGTAGTTCCTTTTATGAACTTTGGATTTATTATTTGAAGGAGGAAGTTAGGAACCATTAAAGCTTTTAAAGACCAGTGTGACATGATCGAATCTTTAATTTTAAAGCTTGTCTAAAGTGTCATGAATAAATTGGAGAGGACCAAAATTAGAGTTACAGGGTCAAGGTAAGAGTTCCTAAAGTAATCCAGATGAAGATCTGAATTAAAGAAGTAGAAAGGAAAGAAGAACCAACTTTATTAATATTTAGGATATAAGCTATCTTAGCTTGGTTTTCCCCAAAAGCAGGCCTGACAAAAAGACTTTGTTACAGATAGATTTTTTGGGGAAGCAATGCCAAGTATGCACAACTATGGAGATGGGGAAAATACAGAGGACAGGATGAAAGGACAATAGGATTTGATTTTGTAAGCAACTGGCCCAGTCTTGCTGGGCAACATCTCAGAAACCATGTGAACATGTTATGAGCATGGTAGAAGCCCTAAGAGGAAATATTACCATTTGGAAAGAGTACAGATTAAAAGGAGAGCTGAAAACTGACATCTGAGTAAAATAACACTTAGGATTTTCAACAAGCAAAGAAGGAAAATTAAGTAGGAGGTGTCAGAGAGGGAGAAGAATCAGGAGACAGGGCTATCATGGAAGCCAAAGAAGAAAAGAAGATCCAGAATGGCAGAAGAATGGGAGCCATGAATTTGCAGCATACTTCATTCGAGTAGATTGGCTAAAATGAGGGGGTAGGACTCTGCTAATAAATGTGGATTTCTTTATTTCATGCCAATGCAAATCATTAAGTGTATGAGGCAAATTTAAGTTTGTTTTGAAGGTACTCTCCATATAGATAAATAATGGTGAGAAAGAACCAGACACAAGAAAAAAGATTATGTCACAGGAGAGGGAGTCCCTGAGTACATAGGCAGGAAGGGTGGATCCAGAAACTCAGTTTGTTTTAGAAGTGAAAAAGGGCCTCCATTCCCTAGGCAGTGCTTTATCATCTAGTATCAAGAGGTTTGTACAAGTTATAACTGGAAAATAGGATGAATGTTTACATTTTACAAATGACTACAGTAAAAAAGTACATCATGATTAATTCCCCTCAAAATATTTCCTCTCACTTTGAACATACTTATTCTCATTATTCTAGCCACTTTCTGAAGCAGTTTGGAAGTCTACTTTTGGGAATGTCTTTATTTGTGCTATCCTGGCTGCCTTGATATCCTGAAACAATTCAAAACATTTATCTTTCAGAATCAGTTTGATTTGGTGGAAGAGCCAAGAAGTAACACAAAGCCAGATATAGTAAATAGGGTGAATTAGGACCTGCCTTTCCATTGGATGCCACTCAAAAGCAGCATTCACTGCATAAACGCACTCAAAAAGAGGACTTTCAGCATTGCTTAAGAAAGTGCTAAGGAGGGGTCAGGGATTTAGCTCAGTGATTTCGCCGCCTGCTGCACAAGCACAAGGACCCGAGTTTGATCCTCGGTACCAAAAAAAAAAAAAAAAAGAAAGTGCCAAGGAAAATAGGATAAGTGTGTTCAAAGCGAAGGGTGGTATTTTAAGGGGAGTTCATCTTTTAAGGGGAGTTCATTGAATGTGTCCTTTAATAATTTTTTTATTTAAACATTCAATATATATTTTGATTGCACCTCATAAATGTGGTCAATGGTTTGAATGATGTACAGCTTTGTGACATGGCTTTAATTCTCATTATTTCAAGGAAAAAATGATCTTTCTTCTATTTGAC